CCCCCCCCCCCCCCCCAAAAATGCTTACTGGAGTATAACGAAAGTGAGGGATTCATTGCATCCATAGAGCACGTGATTTGAATGATGGCTACTGAGGAGTTGAGCTAGTAATGTAGACTAAATGAAGGTGCCAGTCAGGAAAGTTTCGGTGCCATCTTTTAACTAGCTATTTCATTGTGCATTTTTTGCCTCTCAGCCAATCAGCCATGAGGGACAGAGCCACTGGGGCCCATCCGCTAATCAGTGGTGAAAGATGGGGCCTCTGTGAAATGCCCACAGAATCAGTTATGTGCACTGCAAGTGGGCTGCAAAAAATCCTTTGTCCCACCGTGATTTAAGTAGGTCCCTAATTCTGAGCAGCGTTAGAGGAAAGATCTAAAATAGCAACAAGTTGTTTTCCAACGGGCATGTTTCGCCCTTTAAGAACCTACACCGGATGGCCCTTCATGTGCCCAGATGTTTGAATGTGGCTTAAAAGATGTCTCTTCTGGCTAAACCAGGCCTATAAAGAAGATCTGACATGACTGACATTTACTGAGTCAAACTATAGGTCCATCTTGCACAGCAACCTGTGTCACCCTGGCAGATGGTGGGTGCTGAAAGGGAGAATGAACTGGGCCTAACCACGGTTTTTCCACTGTTCCTCTCACTTGCAGCTTTCAGCATCCCTCTGAAAAGCAAGGTGTTAGCTTCATTAATGTTTGTCAAAGTACCGTTTATTTTTGTTACTACATAGTGCTGCTCAAAGCAGTAAACCAATTAACTAACTGCAGGCCAAGGTCTAGATTTATGTCAGATGGGCGCACGTACTCTCTACAAAACACTGTTACATCAGCTGGTACTCCAGTCAATGCTGGGGGTAAAGGATGCTCCAGGATTTCAGAACAGCTGTTTTGGGGTGAGGGGTGCTGGAAACAGGTAAGTGGAAGGATCTGTGTCCCAATGACTGGGGTTTAGGGGATACAAGTTTGCTATGCTGCTCGTATCTTTGAGTTGGGGGAAACCCTTACACCGCTAGGAATTGCATGGTAAAATTGCTGGATTGTGAAATCCATGCATCTCCCTGGGAACTTGCAATCTGATGCTATTGCCCTTCTGTATGATGTGCTTGGAGGATTTACCCTAAAAGTCACTGCTAGTAGCAACCCCAGGATAGGTTTGGGCTCTGTGTTGGCACATTTCTATTGAGCTGTCTTGTGTCTCCGTAATGTACACCGCCCCCCAACCCCCCTTTTCCTCCCCATGTGTTAGGAATGAGAGCCCAAGGAGAGAAAACTAATTCCATTTTTTTCTTCCAAACCTAGCTGAAAAAAGGGTAAGGTTTTTAAAGTTTTTAATTGGGGGGGGGGCAGGAGGGAGGAATGAAAGTTGTGTCTTCTTTACCTTTAAAAAAAAAATGCACTGAATTAATCTGATTTTTATTTCCACCTTTCTTTCACTACTTCTTTCCCACCCTAAATTTTTGCCAAAGTGAAGCTGGGGAGAAAATGGGGGTGGGGGAGCAAGGGATGAGGAGAAATCAAAATTTCCCATGGCAGGAACACAATTTTCTGCTAGCTCTAGAACTCCCCTGTTGCGCAGATGTTGTTTATGAGTGGTCCTGGAAGTTTGCTTGACGCTAGTGTTTAGAAATTAGATTTTCAGTGACTTAAAAACATGTTCTATAAATGTTTCTCTTCCAGGGATTTTTTCCCTTTTCATCAAAACAAGAATGGGAAACTTTTTGAGATACTACTTTTCATTAAAAAGCTAATCTCACATTTTCAATAAAATGTTAACCTTTTGGATGGAACAATATTTGTTAACTGGCTTTCCTATAGGCATGTTATCTTTGTAGGATTTGTCTCAGCCTTTTCTGTACAGGCATCTTAAAAATTCATTTTCTGGGTTGTTACATACCAGCTCCCAATTTCAAGAAGAATACAGTACCACTGGGTAAAATAATTTGCAGGGCAAAAAGGAAATGTAATTAATGTCCTGGTGAAAACTTGCAATATGGAAGTGAAGTGAAGGGTTTTGCTGATGCAGTGTAAATGCTCATTTGATCTATATTTTTTTTTCAGGTCTGTACATTGATATATTAATGAACCCCTGTCCAGCAGGCTTAGAAAAGGCACAATATTTTGTCATTTAACAAGTAGAATATTCATGCTGAAGTCTGTTATAATAATTGTTTATTTTCTGTTATTTCAATGTAAAAAGCTTTACTGTAAAGTAACAAGTCGGTACCAAAATTGTGTCTTCATATTTATTAGCAATCTAAGCATTTTGTCAAAGTGTTATCATTGTGCTTGAGCCACATTTTACTAATGGATATTAATCTTGCTTCTCATTAGGATTTTTTAATGTAAATACAAGCAGCGTGTGAATGGTTTTTGTTGCCATAAATCACACTTGCTATGTAGCAGCATCATGAATATCATTTGGGAGTGTATTTATTGTACTTGTAAGAGCAGTGCTGCGGCTAAATCCTGGCATTTCGAGGTACACCAAGCCCTCCTGTTCTCTAGTTCTTGTCTGCTTTTTGGCTGTGAGGTTTTTGGTGGTGTTTTTTGCAGGGTTTTTTTTTGTTTGTGTGTTAGTCCAAATTTTCTGAATATTAAAGTCACCTTCTGTATGGATGGTTCACTAAAAACATCAGCTCAGTGTTCAGCAGTAGTCAAAATGCAAATAATGTTTGGAATTATTAAGATAGAAAAGGTAAACAAAGCAAAAGGTGGCATCATGTTCCTTTTGTATTCTATGCATGTGTGCACCATACAGTGTGCAGTTTGGGCACAGATTTTAGAAAGGTTGTCAAGGAACTAGAAAAGGTAGAGAGAAGACAACAAGGATGATCAGAGGTATGGAGGGACTTCTAGATGAGAGATTACATAGGCTAGGACTTTTCAGTGTAGAAAAAATATGCTTAAGAGGACAGAATAGATATCTACAAAAGATTAAATAGCACAGAAAAGGTCACTAGGGATTCATTATTTACAGTCTCTAAAATGCTAGAACTAGGGGTCAAATGAAACTACCTGGTAGTAGACTTGAAACTAACAAGCAGATGTTTTTATTTTGCCCACACAGCAAGTAATTAACTTGTAAAACTGGTTGCCGTAAGGTGTTGTGGAGGCTGGTAGTTTAGCCCAGTTCATAAGGGGATTAGCCAAATTCTTGGAGAAAAGATCCACCAGTAGGATCATGAACGTGGATCAGTAATGGAACAAGATATATAAGGATACAGCCTTGAAATCAGAACTTCCTAAATGTCTGGAAGGTGCTATGGAAGAAAAGCATGGTGTGGAAGATGTGGGTCACACCCTGTTCACCCTCCCCCCTTGGTATCCACCCTACCACTGAGAGGGACAGGAGGATACTGGGCTTGATGAACCTGGCCTGACCCAACAAATGGGAGTTCCTGTGTTATGTTTCTCCCCTTATGGACACTCAGCAGGCTCCTATTATTGGATGGCATTAATCAGCTGTCAGCATGTTCTTACAATCCAGATGTGCCAATACCACTGTGCTGCCTCCATAGCTTAAAGAGTTGGAAGTGAGAACTCATCATGCCAGTCCAGGTGGCTAGAAGTAATTCACAGAATAGGAATTTGTAAGTTGTACACACATTCTGGTTATGATAGGAATCTATGTGGTTAGGTCTGCTGGCTAGCTGAGTCCAGGGCCAGGGTTCAGGTCAGGGTCACAGCCTGGATGAACATCTTGTAGTCAAGTT